CCAATCCGAGGCGAGGTGTCCAAATATCAGGAAATAAGATGCCAAATCCTGTCGCCTGAAGATACTTTCTCCTCTGAGTGAATTATCCGTGCTGGAAAAAGGCGCACCGGAGCTGATTCTTCTTCTGGCTCTTGGAGAGTACAGACGCTTTTTTCCTCCTCTCCTCCCTAGCTTATCCCAAGGCTCTTTGTTGTTGGGTGGACGGCGCTTCTGCATTTTTTCTGGAATCTGGAAATTATTAAAAATGGACCTGGTCAGTTGGTCTCTCAACGCGATTGACAAAATATTTTCAACGATGTGGTGTTGGTGTCAGGTTTCCTGCTTTTTGGCCTGAGCGGTTACCTGGCTTACCAGAAAATTAATGAGCTGTCGAGGAATATCGGCTCAATCCCGAAGCTCAGGGATGGATTACACCGCGCTGTGAATGTACAAACTCATAATTGTCGAGATGAGCCGTAAGCTTGGAACTTTGGCTGAGATTCGGACTCTGGCGCAGAAAGTGGATTCGATCAAGGAGAAATTTGACAGATCAGCACGGATTGGGATAGATTAATTTACGCCATTATTGGGATTTTGAGAGGTTGAGGACCAACGGAACTTTAAGACAGAGCGGAAATTATCTGTTTGGCCCCAAAACAAGTTCTTATCTGAATCTGGTGCCTGTGAGGGTGAAGTGATTACTCCCTCTCAGAAGAAATGTGGAATGCTGCCATCGCCATGGCAACTCTGTCTCCCTATCCCAGCCTGGGCGGGACTGCGGCCGGTGAAGGCCGTTGAATAGTTTCCAGGAGTCACTGTGCTCTCTAAACCCAACGACTTCCCTCCCCTGTCCAAACGGAGGTGACGAGCGCCGCTTATCGTGGCTGCATGCACTGATGTGTGGAGAGTCCCCAACCCTACCTCCCCACCTAGTGGACACTTATGTTGTGTAATGTCTGTTGCATTTCTGTCTGAGGTGTTTTTTGCCTAGCAAAGCTGCCCTCCTGGTGGAGGGTAACTCTGAAGTGCCTTATTTTCCTCCACCTGACTCAATTCTCATGCAGGGTATATACAGCAATCCTTAAGTAAAATTTACTACTTTTTAATACTTTTTTTTACTACCTTCAGAATTTTTTTAAAACCATCACAACACTAAATTGCAAGTGTTAATCAGCGACCTATTTACACATATTTTAACATATATAACATACAAAAAGCATAGACTTAGAGACTCACTGATGTTGACAACGTATTGCGCATATTTATTTTACTTAGAAAATATGCCAGGCACTTCTTTTCAGCGGTTCAGACAGTTGACCACGGGGCCTGAAATGATGCAGAACGACCACTGAATATGACGTCATCATAATGTGACCGGATATGCTAAAGTAGGGCTGCTCAATTATGGCAAAAACAATAATCACGATTATTGTGACTGAAATTGAGATCTCGATTATTTAAGACGATTTTTCAATTTATGTAGATTTTTTTTAATTTATTTTTATTCAGTCATAAAACTGCTCAGGGCACAATCAGGGCAAAAATAAACAAGAAACAAGATGATCACTAAAAGAACTCCTGATTCCCAGTATAAAAAGACCAATATACTTATAGCTCATAGTTTATGACCCAAGGGCTGTAGACCTTGGTTTAACTCATTTAAGTCTAACCAGTACAGACCCAAATACCAATATCTTGCAAATACTGACAGCAAGAATTATACAGTGGCATTTATAACAAATAAATGCAAATAAATTAATGTTCACAAAATGTTGCATAACATTTATTGAGTCATGTCAAGGTGCTGTAGGAGAGTGCACTAGCACCGTGTCCTCAGAGAGATTAGTTATTATTTATCAGCATGAGGAACTTATTTCTACCTTATTTATAAACTATTTATTTACAAGTCCATCAGTTAATGTAATAATTGTCCCAACCACAGCTGCACCCCCCACCCCCCAACCCGGTCTCACAGCAATCGGGGCAAGCTGCACGTGTGTTTAGCGCGCCGCACGCGCACACTTAGCCGTTTTTAGTGGCTCAGGAGCCCGCAGGTACGGTGTGTGTCACTCACTCTGGTTACTCCAACAGGGAGCCGGCTCCGAGAGCCGTTTCTTTAGCGACTGACACATCACTACATCATTCCCTTTCCTAATGTCCTGAAGAACGGTCCGGAGCGCAGGCGGAGTGTTTAGCTAACCTGCAGCAGGAAATGTCGACGATAGTTATCCAGAAAGTAGCTAAGGGTTACCAGAGATGTTTCTGAGGTGTTCGCTAGGTACTTTTAAGATTTAAAAAGTCAAGAAGGGGGTCTGAAAAGCTGTTGGAAATAGCATCAAAGTCGCTAAGTTGGCAACGGAGCGCTTCATTTGCAACTCAGGGCTGCGCAAGTGGGAGGAGCAAATAATCGGCTTGTTTTATTTTTATAATCGTTCAAAACATTTCATTCGGAATATATTTCTATGTCGATGTTCAGAATACGACACCTGATAGTCTGAAAAAAATAATACCTAACTTGGAAAAAATAATACCTCTGAGACCAAATTTAACACTTTTAATGGCCTTAAATTTGACTATTTTTATTTATCACTTTTTAATACTTTTTAAAACCCCGCGGACACCCTGTCATGTAAACCGTCTGATCTCTATTAAGGTAGTGCGACTCGGGTTGCGAATCACCAATTCTTGTCATGTGTCTATGTATGTATGTCTGATCTCAGAATTGTGTGTCCTGAAACTCTAATTTCCCTCTGGGATTAATAAAGTATCTTTGAATTGAATTGAATTTTTACCCCAAAGCACAGCTCAATAAGCTTCAATCCTACTAGAGACCACTGCAAATGTATTAAAAGATGAGTGAAAAACAAACTGATAAAACTCGATAATCTTGTCCCAAAAAGACAAAAGAAAAGCTGCATAAACAGACCTGATCAGCCTTCTTCCCTTTTTTTTGCAACAGCTGAAAATAAATGTTAATAAAGCTCAGAATTCAGGAGGAAGAGAACAAGCTGAGTGACTGTATTTAAACAGTCAGTTTCTGTGCATAAAGCAGCATCCATGAGCCCATTTCCCTCTACAGAGTCAGAGGAATGCAGCATGTCAAGTTACATTAATTCACTCTGCAAGTCCTACTTATTTATCTCATCAGGCGCCCTGACTGGTCAATTACTTTAAGTGCAGCCATGCAGTTGTGAGACTGTGTGAAGAAAATTCATCTAAAATACAAGCTACAAGTTTAGCCACATAATGTGCAAATATGATCAAATAGACTAAACCTATGAATTCAACACAATCTGTCTTTTTGTACCACTTTCCAATTTGTCGTACTAGGTTATAAAAGCACAAATATTAACTTTAATAAAAGCTAAACATGGCGTGTGCAGTTTCAGCTACACCCACCAGACAGGTTACACTTAAAGTACACAATAAGACCACAACTTTAGGATTAGTCAAACCCAGAAGATGAATAATCTCCTCCACACTGTGGCTTGTTTGTAAAACAACAGAAGCTGTGGCAGCATGTTTGTTGGAAATATCAACACGGCTTGTCAGCAAGCTGTGGTTCAATGTAGAATGAGACTGTTTTCCTTTGAATTAGAAATAAAGTGACACTTTTATTAATGGTTTTTGTTTAACCGTAAGGCACACAAACCACTTTAACTATAATTTTAAAAGTAATAAGTCATTAGAATAACCTGAACAATCAGCCTTGTTGCCTTTGAGGGACGGAGAAACATGCAGCTGCTTTTAAAAAACACAAAACAGTCCTCTCATTTAAGATGCTCATGAATGTCTGCAAGGCACAACAAAGGCTAGAGTTACTGCTGATTAATTCAGAGTAACAAGCAGGCGATTGTGCTGCTCCCGCAAATAATTTCATATTCCCAACAAGATTTAAAATAATAAAGAGGATGATCTGCATTTGTGTTGTTTTTGCTCTATTACATCAGTCCTGGGTGAGTGTTGGTGAAGATTTTCATGCTCCTGCTGCTGGACTGTGTACCTCCTCTCCACACACACCAGCCAGGCTACTTAATACCATCACCATGGAGACGGCTCTTTGGCAACTCCACCAGCTCACAGGAAACCAGGCACACGGTCATTCAAGCACACAGACAATGATAGACACATGCACATAAACATATATGTGTGACAAGAATAGCCCGCATGGCCCAAACAAGTCCTCAGAGCTGCAACAGAGAGCTATTCTCACTTTCAGAAGTGGGTGTCAGGTGTTAAATATAGAAAAAGAAGGGACACCTCCAGCTCATCAAGGCAGTAATCTCCTTTACATTTCAACTATTGCACAGATATTCAGCTGCACATTCAGCATTCACCTTTTAAAGTGCAGTTTGGTTAAAAAAGAATAAACAGATTATGGAAACATATTGAGATATTCAACTAACCCTAAAAACTCAACCACATGCAGACTCCAACCGATCACCCAGTGAAGCATGTACTCTAGCTTCAGTGTTTACATGTTACCCCACCACAAACAAATCAGCGAGTGTTGCCAAAGCGTTCATTTCTCCCCAAAGTAAAGTTGCCATAATCAACTGATAGCATTGGCTGTTGACAATCGACACGTCCATCGTAGCAGGAATTTTATACCTCTTATTAACTTTACTTTCACTTCATGAGACAACTTAAGTATAGTTTGGTGTTTTTCAGCCAAAAATACTTAACTAGTTACTTCCCAGATTACCGACAGAACTCATTTAAATGCAGGATCGTTGGTGGTAAACACTACATCATTAGCTGTTTTTAACCAAACAACATATCGTTTTGTGACGTTTGTGAGTTGTTTGTGTTTTTAAATCACTAAACTGTGCCTCAGTTTTCCTTAACGTAAATTATATAATTTAATCTCGTTATCCCAGCTTCAGGAAATGCATTAAAACATGCTTCCGTTTCAGAGACTGGCAGCAAAGACGAGCTGTATTCTGTTGGGAAGCTAAGCTAACGTGAGCAACCCACATTATCTTAAACTTATGTCAGCTTTTTGACAATTAATCACTTACCTGGTCTCGAATTTTGAGAACCACCATGTTTTTGGGTGTGTAGGTGTTCTCATCCAGAAGCATAAAGCCGTATCGATCACTTTCCAGACACCGGTGTTTGATCTTGCCTGCTAAAGGCCTGACGAGCTCCTCGGCTAGCTTCCTATGCTGACATCATAAACGCACCGGAACAGCGGAAGCTCTATAACGTTGCCGCCATGGCATTTCACCAATCAAAGAAACGCAAGGTGATAGGCTGAGTCTGCGTGACGCATCAGCATAAAACCTTTTGATTGGATTTTGCTAACCACACAAAGTGACAGGCGCACATTTCTGCGCTCTTATTGATGTTTAGTTAGGGAACGTCTTAGCCCTAAAAATAAAATGAAATTAGTTTTTGACATACCTAATAATTCCCATAACTAAAAAGAGACTTGCAATGATTGTTTAGTGATTTTATGGATCAGTTATTTTTATGCTGCCCCTTTTCCTGTATTTACATTCCAGTGTGAGTGTGCACAGTCCCAATTTCATTCATATATAGCATTTTTAGTACTTTTAAAGTTTTAGTAGGTTTTAAAAATATTATTTATTTGAGATGTATTTCCTTGAGAGTTTCTTTTACCTCTGCTAAATCAAATCGAATAGTCTTTGTCGACTCAACAGGGTTCAGGGTATTGAGTGAATCAAATAGCTATTTGTCGATCATCTTCGTAGGACAGGTATAGTAAATGTGAAGTAAATAAATGGCCCCTCTACCTATCACAAAAACGGCAAATTGATGAGGTTCCATGTGCTTTTAGTTCCACCTTTAAATATGATGAAATTTTGCCCTCTAGTGACTTTGTCCCTTAAGTACATGTGAGTTCTGAAAAGAGCCAACGTGCATCTGCAGATGCATATGTCCAGTGGTTTCTAAATCTAAAGAATGTTAGGAAAAACTTTTGGACTGAAAGTTTTTCTCAGTCGCTTTGGTTCATTTCTCACAACAGTATGAAAACTTTCACCACTGCTAAGGCATTTCTCAAAACAATTCGTGCAAACTGCAAAACATGGTAGGTAACCTGCAAAAGTGAGTCACTTGCACAAAAGCAAGCCTGTTTACCAAAATGGTTCATTTGTTCTTCAAAAGCAAACTATTTATGTCAGTGAAAGTGTCAGTGTTGTCAAAATGACACCAGCATCTTTAAACAAGTAAGTCAAAAGGTTTGAACCCGTTATCATTGTGACAGATTACTCTGGAAGTACTTCCCAATGAAGTCAAGACAGCATTGACAACATCAAGCAGGGCATTTAGAAAACTAGAAGTAAATAAAAATCAAGACACTGAATATACACATCACGTTATATTTTCAACTGTTCACAGCATAGTGCAACTAAACGAAAAAATATCAACAAATAAAAACTCCTTTTGGCTCAGTAAACCATACTGAGGTAGTTTTGAAACTGCAAATATTGTAAAACAGACAGTGCTGCAGCTCAATCATGGACAATAGATGCTCCCGTCTGTCTGGTCACATATTTCCATCTACATCGCAGAAAATGTCAGCTCTTTCAATGCACCGAGGAAAGTTTCTTCTTGAGTGCAGAATCTATTCTCTGCAGGACTCCAATGTGATCTCATCACAAGCTGCATCCATTGCTGCTAGCTGGGAACGCTCCATTGGAACCTTTACGGGCCCTAGCAGGATTCTGCAGGACCAATCACAGCTCTCTATAGGGGTTTCAAACTGATAGAGTGCTGTAATTGGTCCACGAAGGTGGAGCCAGCTTGTCTGAAACGGCTTTTGAATAAATTTTGGACTATTTGTTCTTGGGCTGTATTAGAATAAGAAGCAGAAATGTGTATTAAAGTCCATTATTTAGAAAAATATGTATTTTTGCCTTCAATAGCAGACCACCTTGTTTTCCGACATCCATTGCAGTGAGTACGTCACGTTGTTCGTTTCCATTAGCACAACCAGTAGGCTTTGGTCACTGGACCTCAGGGACCTGCTGGGGGTGTAGGGACTAAGAAGATCACCAATGTAAGATGGTGCTTGTCCATGTAAGGCTCTATAGACCAGAACCAGGATCTTGAAATGAACCCTGAAGTTGACTGGCAGCCAGTGACGCTGGAGGAGAAGCGGGGTGATGTGGGTGTGTTTGGAGGACTTGGTCAGAAGCCGAGCACAGGCGTTCTGAACCACCTGTAGATGGTTCAGGGAGGTTCTGCTCAGACACGTGAAAAGAGAGTTACAGTAGTCTAAGCGTGAGGAAATGAAGGTGTGGAGAACTGTCTCAAGTTCAGAGCGGGACAGAATGGGACTCAGCTTAGCAATGTTCCTGAGATGGAAGAAGGAAGAGCGAACAAGAGAACTGACATGAGAATCCAGGGTGAGAGCTGGCTCAAAGGTCACGCCAAGATTCCTGACAGAAGGTTTGGTGTGGGAAGCAAGCTGACCAAGAGAGTCTCTGCCTTTGGGAACCAGCTTGTCTGGGGCACAGTTCCCAGCCATCCAGTTTCAATAGTCTAAGCAGGTGTGTAACAACTGCAGCTTAGACATCTCATGAGGCTTACAGGAGATCTACAGTTGGATGTCACCTAAGTAAAGATGGTTTGAGATTCCTTTTAAAAAGTTCAGGATGTGCTGATAAATAAGCAGATAAAAAAGGAAAAGTAGAGGCCCCAAACACAGAACCTTACAGGACCCCATGGGTGAGGGAGGTGGTGGAGGACCAAAACTTGGAGACAGCCGCACAGATGAGGATCTCAGTCGTATCTTCATTCAGCTGTAGAAAGCTCCCAGCCATCCATGTTTTAATAGCAGGTCTAAACAGGTGTGTAAATGCCGCAGTTTAGACATCTCATAGGGCTTAAAGGGGATGTACAGTTGGATGTCATCTGCGTAAAGATGGTAGGAGATTCCTTTGAAGGAGCTCAGGATGTGCTGAAGAGAAAGCAGATAGATGAGGAAGAGCAGAGGCCCCAGCACAGAACTTTGTGGGACACCATGGGTGAGGGAGGTGGTGGAGGACAGGTCCAGCAGGTCAAGAGGCTTATCATTGGTTGCAAATAATTGTTCACACACCCTTTTCATCAGTGTAAGATAAGGTTCATCTGAGAAAAGTTATTTATGAACAATTCCATGGAAACAATAAAATATTTTGAAAATGGATGTTCAAGATGTTTGACATGTTCAACTATTGCAACTAGTGCAATGACACAAGCAACTAAAAGACGATTATCAGTTGTATGAACAACAACACTAACTATTGTGCAAAGTTTAATTCTGTTGTGAGAAATGTACCAAAGTGACTGAATCAGAATCAGAATCAGATTTATTGCCATGTAGGTGAGAGCCTCATCTACTAGGAATTTGCTTCGGTGGCAACGTGTAAACATACACTCAAGTCAATTTGCTCTTTAACTGTATTACTTCCTGCTATTTCAGCTGTTAACTTTATTTTTTCTCTAAGTGTTTTTCTCCCCAGAGGAAGCCACTAGTGATGTGTCGGTCTCGAACGAACCGGCTCTGAGAGCCGGCTCTTTGAAGTGAACGACGGGAGCCGGCTCGTCATTGGAAGCCGTCCCCTCCCCCCTCCCCTCTTGCTTTGGTGAAAGCTACAGGCGATTGGTCAACATGGGTCACTGTGTGCCCAGACTGTCCACACACAGAGCAGTAGGGGCAGGGAAGCGGGAGGATCACACTCAGACACACAGCAGAGCACATGCAGGTGGAGGGAGACGAGAGGGAATGAGGAGAAGGTAAAAGGCGAGCGAGAGGGAGGAGAGTGCGACGAAGACGGTGAGAAAATGAGAGCCAGCAGTCGGAAAGTGAAGATTTCTGAAAGTGTTCAGTTATTAAATCCAAATAAATGATAAAAATTTGATATTGCATTTTTTTTACATGAGCCAATCATTTAACATATAGTTTTGCATTATTCTGGTTATAAATGAACTCTTAACACAACAGAAAATCCGAGGAGTCACTTGGGAGCCGAAAGAGCCGGTGAGCTGAGCCAAAAGAACCGGCTCTCTAAAAAGAGCCGGAATTCCCATCACTAGAAGCTACAACAATGTTCTGCTGAGCTGTGGTGGCCTCATGGAGGGGGCCATCGGCTAGCACACTGCTGATAACCACTAAAACATTCTCCCTCTCCTGATAATAACTTTTTACTCTCTTTGACGTTGGATGTGCTACTACTAGTTTACTCATTTAATTATAGATCCACTAGGATAAATACAATAAAGTTTATCTCTCACCAAATACAATATTTGCTAAGAAATAACAAAGTGTGTGTGTGTGTGTTTGTGCGTGTGTGCGTGTGTGCGTGCGTGCGTGCGTGCGTGCGTGCGTGAGTGTGTGTGTGTGTGTGTGTGTGTCTGCTCTGTCTTCTCCATCCTCAGTGAGTCGTGGAGGATGGCTGCTTATACTGAGCCAGGATCCTCTGGAGGTTTCTTCCTGTTAAAAGGGAGTTTTCCTCTCCACTGTCTCTATATGCTTGCTTAGTATGAGGATTGCTGTATAGTCACTGACACTAGCCAGTGACTTGATGCAACCTGCTGGGTTCCTTATATAGGAAACTTTTTTCTGATTGGCTTAATGAACTGACCTGAATTGAAATGTTTATTATGTGAAGGTACTTGAGATGACTCTTGTTGTGATTTGGCGTTTTATAAAAAAATAAAATAAAATAAAAAGTAAAAAAAGTCAAAGTCTGAGACTGACTGAGAAACACTGTAACAAAAATAAAAAATAGAATATGGTACAAAAGTCAATTTGTTTCAGTGATTCACTTAGACTGAGAACCATTTAAAGGCCCAGGAAGCCTCTGACTGTGTTTTGGATTTTTGTAATTAGCTGATTAGAGTGTAACACTTTGAGCCTTGAATATTGGAACTTTTCACAATATTCTATTTGTCTAACGTTTTTAATTTTGTGTTTTCATAAGCTGTAAGCCATAATCATGACAACTATAACAAATAATGACTTGAAACATCTGGCTTTGCTTGTATAGAGTCTATCTCATATTAGTATTATTTTAGTTTCAATAAACTAATTAACGTTTACATGATTTTCTAATTTTTGAGTTTCACCTGAATGGTTTTCTTGTGCGCTGTCTTGAAACAGCTGACTGCATCATATAATATGACGATATCTCAAGGTTGTGCATAAAATAAGACAGTCTCATGCAGACAGGCAGGCCAGACATTGAATCAAAAAGATAGATAGGAGCA